CGGGCCAGCATGTCGGGCCGGTCACCCAGCAACCCTGTCCAGGGGGGTAATGCTGTCAGCGCAGCGAGCGGCGACGTCGGTGGTCATACAGCGACCACGTCGAGCACACACCATGGCGACAGCGGTCCCGCGCCGTCCATCGGTGTTCTGTCACCTTAGACTATGGGTGGCCACGTCGTCGGTGGCGATGGTGGGGGGGCTGCGGTGACGGGTCACACCGTCGATGGCGGGGGTTGGGGACATCTGCCACAAACTCCCAGCGAAGGGGAGTGGGTGTGGGGAGGCGCCTCCGCGAACGGTGGTGGGTGGGAGGCCGGCCCCGACCATGGTCCGCCAGGATGGGGTGCGGACGAAGTTCTGTGGCCAGCCGCTTCCGAAACTAGAAACGGCAACAACTTCAGTCCGCCGAGTTCGGGTGATGAAGGAGGTGATGGGGGCGGGGGCGGGGGCGGAGGCGGGAGTGGTTATGACGACTAGTCCGTTACGGTTTTTTTTTTCCTATTAGTTTTTGCTTTCGCGTTTTCTCTTCCGCTCCTTCAATTCCTTCTCCTTCTTCTTCTTCCATTCCTTCTGTTTCTTCTTCTTCTCCTTATCTTTGTTCTTCTTTTTCTTTTTTGTTCTTCGATTCGTTTTCGTTGATTTTCATGGCGAATCGGATTTGTGGTCGGCGACAAAATTAGTGAGAGAGACACAGAGAAAGAGCTGACGAAATAAACGATGTTTTTATTCAATTTCATATTTTAGGGTCCACGTTTTTCTTCTTCTTTATGAAAAACTATGGTGCAAAGTATTTCTCTCTCTCTCTATCTCTGTCGATGTTCAAAAAAAAAAAATAATAATAAATTAAACCAATCAATCAATCAATCAATCAATCAATCAATCAATCAATCAATCAATCCAATCAATCCAATCAATAGATTGATTGATTGATTGATGGAACTGCGACTGTGTGTCTGTGAGTCTGTGTGTGTGACTGTGTGTTTGTGTGTTCTCTCTCTCTCTCTCTCTCTCTCTCTCTCTCTCTCTCTCTCTCTCTCTCTCTCTCTCTCTCTCTCTCTCTCTCTCT